TTCGGTGGAAAGTTAAAAAACATTGCCTTCTTGAAGTTGAAGATGTCTAGTTCCTTAGTGGCCTTAGTACTGCTTCATTCCTGACAGGGCCTGACAGACAGGTGCATCTCAAAACTGCTTCTGTTTACTTTCCAAATCAAACATATCAATACATTTACTCAAAGAAACTCACACAAAACAAGATCATGGATGTAACATGCCAAACTACATTTAACCTAATTTACAATGTCTGCATTTGTTTTGCTCACAAAGAAGTTGCTACAACCTAGATCAGACAACCTAGATCAGTAAAAATATATATACCAAACTCTCTGACTGATGACTTGGTCCAATTTGCCTAGTGTCAGGCTTTAAGTAGCACGACCCACCCACCCCCCTGTTTTGGCTTGACACCTCAAATTTACATTGCTGCAAAGAAGCACCATCATGAAGCAACTCAGGGTGTTCAGGAACTCCACCATAAGTTACAGATATGTGGTTTAAGACTCATAACAAGACAAAATGAAACTATCACAATCAAAGACCAAACTATCACAATCAATGATCATGGGTTCTTGCACTCCTGGTTGGGAATCGGAAAGGTGGACCTTGTGAAGGATGGGACATCAATCAAGATGTTCATTTTGACATGAGGCATGTTTGCACGATCTCCTTGAATCTCCTTTCTATAGCCATCGCCGGATGGCCTATAGGCAGCCTATAGGCAGCCTATAGGCCTATAGGGTGTTCAAATAACAGAATAGAGAAGGGGTCCTCAACCATTGGGTTTTGGACTGTGTTGCTTCTTTCCATGGGGTCGAAGTGGGAGGTCTCCATTAACATATTTTGTGGACACGTGGGGATCTACCCAAATGGGTGGTAGGCGGACACCTGCCAATATGGTCATCGTTTGTTCCTTTCATCCAAACCTTTGGGCTTGGGGTCTTCCTCCTATGGGGCGGCATGCGTGTTCTGTGGGCTATAAGGACCCTAGACCCTATATGGACCCTATATGTCCCGGTCATGGGGTTCCTTTGGCAGTTTAAAAGGACCATTGTTGAATCAATCATGTGAATGTCGGAGGTGAGATGACTCAATGCCTTCGGCTCTTTGGTTCCAGGAGACTGTCGCAAGCACTTTGGAGACGTCCGGAGACCCGGCCATTGCAGCTTGCGGGTCACGAACCCGTTCCGAAGATCATCAGCAGACAAGCCTCCTCCAGGATGTGATTTTGCTCAAACAGCTTTTTAAATGTTTAATGCAGTTCTTTGCGATTGCTGTTTATAGATCCCGGGTAGGATTTCGCCTAGGAGATGGATTGACTCGAGTCCCTTAGTATTTTCTAGTGACTGTCTCTAATGTGTTGGTAGCGCCTACCATTTCTATAAAACAGGTTTTTATGGCTATGGATGATATGAGAAGAGGGTTGGGTTTTCCGTACCTGGCAATTCCGGGAGGACTTGTTTTATTTGCCCCAAGCTTGATAAGCATCGGAAAGGCTAACCAGGTGCAAGATCACTTTCCAGACTATTGGCAAAGCACATAAAAGGTAGGTTGCGTGAAATGTTTTTAGTTATTATTCAGATCCTAGTGTGCATTGTGACGTTGAGGCCTCTAGTCCTTTTCTTTATTTTTGAAGCAACCTAGGTTTGCAAGATTTGTCAGAAACCGCTCGTTTGCTTTGAACAACAAATCTAAGATAGCTTAAAATGGAGCTTTTCAGACTACCCATGTTTGCCATGCTATAGAGAGATTTTGTGATGTGAGTTGAACGGAGGAAATCAAAGCCATGACCTTCAAGGTATATTCCTTGATCATCTAGAGTACGTCATGTCTGACATGTTCTAGTGGAATGTTTCATGCCCAATAAGTTTTAAATTGTTGTTGAATCTATAAACCCTTACATCCTAGTCAGATGTTCACCCATTCTCTAAATTATACAAATTCTAGAGATGCATAAATTGAATGAAGATGAGAAACCCCAAATGTTTGACCGAATTCCTTGTATATTTCGCTTGTCCAGGTGGCCAGTATAAAAGCCAAGCACATGCTTACGTAGCAAGATGCTTCTAAACTTTTGCAGTCTGTTGAGGGTTGGACCCTGATGTTGACCGTTTGTCTTGTTTTTTTCAGGGCCTTGGACCGTTTGGCTGAGATCAGGCGTTTGGGCCCGGTGTGGGCGGGCGAAAACGAGCGAAAACGGAGGGAAATGACATGGTGGTTCAGAGATCCAAGCTTTTTGTTCAAGAGGCTGTGGATTTGAACACAGCTGACATGGAGTTTGTGAGCATCGTTTCTTGGAGGATAACAGGACATGCTGGAAGTGTTCCAAACATGGTAGATACCCAAAGTAGCCACATGAATGACTACATGTCGTCACTACTTCATATATAGTCATGAACCATCATGTACATTTCCCAAACTAGATTCACTAGATCCAGAATGCCAAAACCGTCTGGACCTTTCAAACAGGATGTCGATGTGGATCCTCAGTTCTCCACAAATGTGGGACTTCCCATGGCCGGCCACGCATGTGGGTTTCGCTGAAAACGGGTCAGAAACAGCAGCAAAACCGCCCCAAAATGGCGGGAAAACTGCCAGGCTTCCGTTGGACTTGGAGACTCAGACTTTGGAGGACGCCTATGTGGCCGATGGCCCCAGTCGAAGGACGCACGTGTCCAAGCTTATAGCTATACAATCAGGTTCAACAGGGACTTACAGCTCCCTTATTTGATATCCTTTGCCAAGGAAATCACGACGTTAAGGCTGCTTACAAAACGATTCATTTGTAGGGTAAGTGAGGGGTTGTACTGTCTGTACCTCTCACTTCATAGAGAAATCAGGGTTTGAAGAACATGTGTGCAATCTTACAGGGGGGTCATCACGCGGCACTTTAGAGACCAGCATATTTCTCTCTTTTGAGCAGCAACCATTCATTTGCGGCATATGTGTTTGTTTTATCAGAGGCTCTAGTTTGGGTCATGTTTCACTGTGAGGACGCCAGTAAGAACAGAAAGGGGCAGGAACGTTGCAATCGAAGACTGTAAGCCCAAGTTTTTCTTGGATGAATTTGGGGGGCTCCGGAATCTCAAACCACTCTTGTCCTGCAAGAGTATGGTCCATATCTCGGAATCCTAATGCAAGAGTAGCTCTTGTCATCTCTTGGTGGTTTGGGGAGATCAGAGGAGCCAGCCTCTCGTCGGCCTTTGGGACACCCGACCGGCTTCGCGGCTGAGGTCACCGGCTTCGCGCGGGGCTTGAGACATGAGGCAGCGGGCTCTGTGGGGGTCTGGAGGTTCCCGACTTCCAATGTTGGAGATCCAGATCTGGAAACGCCCTGGTGGTTCATTCAGTTAGTCAAGTCCTGTTCTTTCATGTCTACGCATATCTATGTGCTTGTTGTTGATGATGTTTAACCATGTTTAACCAATATTGTTGATTTTGTTGATGATGTTGATGTATCAGGGCAACCCTGAACCGAGAAGCAGCGCTGTGGGGCGCCATTTTAGAGATCGATGGCTTCATATTGACTCCCTTTTTCGGAACGGTGACCGAACGCGGATCTGCCAGGATCTCCATTTGGAGCTCGGCCGATCGGGGCTGCTGATCCGAGCCTTGCGGATGCCCACCCCAGAGGACGGGAGGGGAAGGCTTTTCCACGCGAGGAGGTCTGACGGTGCCGGTCAGGCAGACGGTCTGGGAGCACGGAGACGACTCCGTGGACCAAAGACTCCATGGGACTGACATATATTTAATAACCAGGAGTCACAAAGAGGTGGTGTTTAGTCCCTAAGTGAGTGGATAATGGCCACCCCTAACCTCCATGGATAGCACCCCTTTGTGACTGCTGGAACATGGAGCCCTTTTGAACCACCCCGCGTATCGTGGTAAATGATGGTAAATGTGCCAGTCCCATGGTGTGTCAGGTCCAGTATGTCGACGGAGTCGGTGTTTCTGGAGGTTTGAGGTCTCGGTCCTGTGCTGTGACCGAAGGGGGGAGGGGAAGAAGGACGGTGGCAGTGGCTGAGATCCCTGAAGAGTGATCAATGTTGTTTCTTTTGTTGAATAGCAGACACGTAGGAAAGGATCATGGTACAACTTGAACCCACCAGGCCACGAAGGACATTGACCTACTGAATTTGCAAGAGAATTCTGCACCACTCACTCACTCACTCACTCACTCTCTCACTCTCTCACTCTCTCACTCTCTCTCTCTCTCACTCACAGTCAAACTCACACTCTTTACTCTCACGCTTACTTTGGCTCGTCCGCTGTCATTCTTACTTCAGCTTTCGCCTCCACTTGTTAGTTTGTTTTGACAGAACCCATGTCGTTCAAGCAGAGTCAATTGTATGGTTGGACCTCAACTCATCAGAGTTAAACATGTTGGATTTATTACTAAGTTCATTAGTTAGTTTATACAAACTGACAAGTTCAAGGAAATAGGTAACTTCTTAAGAACCGTCTATTTACAGTATTGCTCGTGATTTTTGGACTGTCTCGATCTATTGCTTGGTGGTCGGCCTTTACTTGTGGCACTTGCAAGTTAGTTGCAACATGTCTAAACTTAAGTAATTCAGAATTTGCCAGTGACACTCAGAGAACTTTAGCTGTTACTTATTTGGATTTGGAACTATCCCCTCACTGTTAAACATAACTTGTAACAAACTTTAAGTTATGTAAGCTCCTGAATGTTTGAAACCAACAAAGTCTCAAACGAGCTGGTGAAAACAGAGGTTTTGTGCAACAGCATGCGTGATGCGTGAGGCGGCTCAATGAGCAGCCCGGACTAGCCTCGTCAGAGACTCATGAATAAGCAAGACTGAGAACCTCCAACATGGTCCTTCGAATGGTCATAGATGCCCCAAGAAGGAAGACTGAAATCTCCAACATGTTTCTTTGTTTGTTTTCTGCAAAAGCATCCGCTATTAAGGAAACCTGTAGTTTGAGACTCGCCACTAGTGGATTCCAAGAAACCATTCCATCTATTGGTGCCATGTAATCCGGTCCACCTAATAAAAAACACGTACCCCCCCCCTAATAAGGAAACCTCGGTCGCATTTTTTCTAATAGGGGGTCCCTGAAATCGGGGGGCCCAAAATAGGGTCACCTGGGAAGAGCTTCAAAACCAAAAAGTAAATCCGTAAAATTTTATATAAAATCCTTTATTAAACTCAGATCAAAAATGCAAAAAAGCTCCAGATCGAAGGGTCTTCCTTTTCCCCTACAAAAACCTTCACTAGAATAGTGATTCTTCAGTAGACTAACAGCTAAAGCTTTCGAAAGGTGATGTCACTGTGCTGTGCCATGCGGTGTTGCATGACCTCGGTGGCAAGTGCGTTTGCGTGAGTCCGTGCCATTGGGGGAAGGAAAGCCTGCTGGTGTAAGCGCGGCGTGTCATGGTGGATAGACAGGGCGGACAGAGGTGGGCAGTTACGGTTGGTTTTGGAACCTAATAAAAAAACTACCCCCAAAATCGACCATGTTGGTAGTTTAGTAGCGGTTTGAAAGGGCGGTAATTTAAAACCAAATATAAACCGAATTTAGGGGGATCCGGCATGATTTTTTTAAATAGGGGTCCGTTTTTTAATAGGTACTCGGGATTATGACTTGTTGTTTTCACCATAGCTCCACCTGACAGAAAACGTATTTCGTGCTGCTTGGCAGGGTTCGGCCGAACCAAGCGAATCGATGAGCACCCCCACCATGGCGAATCCACAATGAGCCATGGTCCATTGTGAATGGACCTGCAAAAGTCGTTTTCCTATGGTGGTCTGACCATCTGCAAGATACTTAAGTTAACATCCAAACACCAAGTCACCAGTCTGTGGGTACTCCATGTTCGCGGGGAACCTCCTGAAACGACCCGAAACCACCATGACTGTGGATCCGTATTTGATGTTCCAAACACTCCGAAATGTCATTTTAGTACCCGATTTTACACTGGGCCACAAAAAATGTATCCAGGAACATGTGTTTCAATCAGATCCCGTATTGCTCTTATAGACTGGTAGCGAATCTGAAAGTTGATTTCATAGTAGCAACATGTGCAAAGACTTGCAGATGTCCAGCCAATCCGGTGTTTTTGTCGGATCCACGCAAGAGCTTGTCAACATCAGGTAAAACTGCCGCCAAACCACTTAACCAAACGCAAACGGTTTTATGTTCAACTTAATTGAATTTGTTTTTGCAGAAACTGAACCGTATGTCCGCATGAGACCACCAAATGCCGTTGTGCTTCTTCACCCAAACCCACCTCAATGTATTTCCTTTCGTGTCTCCCTCCTCTCAAGTGGTGGTCCAACGAGCTTCTGTTCGCTGCCGTGACCTGTTTCGCTGCCGAAGTCCTCGCAAGGAGTCCTCCTTTCTGCAACGAACTCTGCGGAGCCCACCCACCTTAGCGGACCGAACTCCGCGCGGCTCGAGACGTGGAGTCGGTCGGTTTGAAGATGTTTGAAGGGTGAACCGGTGGGGAACCGGGGGGGGAACCGGGGGCCTTGGTGTTGCTGAACGATGTCATGGTGTCTTGCGATTTGGTGTTCATGGGAAATCGGTCAACACCGTGAAGTGTTTGATAGTATTTGTCTAATATGAACACTCTGCAGATCTCTGCAGATCTCTGCAGCTATGGAAGATGTTCATCCTTCCTTGGTTTTATATAAGTCGAAAAGGATGGCACTGCAAAAGTCTTGTTCTTCGCGAACACACGTTGACCGACGACTTCAGGACTACCTCGCGGTGGGTCGAGGCGTTTTCGGCGTGACGCCTCAGGGGTCGTAGTTCGGAGCGCGATTCCAGAGCTTAGGGCACTGTATGGCTCTGTTTTGAGTCCCAATTAACCTGTAAATATATGCATGTATATAATTATACCAAGAAAACCTGGACCCTGAGGCCCTGAACATCTCCATGTTTGGGTCAGGCGGTTCTGTTCGCCTTGCGCACGGCGATGTTCTGCAAGACTCAGACCGTCAGACGAGCCTCATGTGTGACCGTCAGACGAGCCGCAAAAGGAGTTGTTCCGGGATCCATGATCTGAAATCAGATGTCTGCAGTGTGGGGCTCGTGTTCTGTGACCATGCGTGACCAAAAGAGTATGGATTCTGGTATGATTCTGATAGCTATGATTCTGATCTATGATACCATGTTCCGGAATCATGAGTGGATCTCTATGATCTCTATCTGATTCTTTTCACGAAAGCTAGCGAAGCTAGCTGGAGTTACTCTTGCGATAGCAAGGTTTCTTTCGACCGGGTGCAAATCCTAACCCCTGATTATTCAGGTCGAAGACCCCCCCCTGAAAAGTAGAGCCTACCTGTACAGGGTTCCACTCCAACAGCTGATATAGTGTGTCCATGCTTGACTGCTTCAAGGCTCAAGAGAGGGTCAATGGACCTAAAGAGCAAGAGGATAAGACTCTGCACATAAAAGACACTAGCGGTCTGCACCTCTACCGTGTACGCCCTAGTCACTCTTTCAGTGGTAGCGGAGCAGTGATCCTGGAAGACCCAGGTGAGCTCCTTTCCTAGGCATAGAATTGCTTGTGGGCAAACGGCCATGGATTGGATTGACGACTGGGAAGAGCCTGATGCGGATGTGGCTTATGAGCCAGCAGCCTACGTGAATAGGCATGTGAGAAGAGAACCAGCAGCAATAGCAATGACAACACAGGTCACTACAAAGGTGCCCCCATCTTATGATGGAAAGACTTCATGGTTTTCCTATGAGGATGCCATAGACGATTGGTGTGATATCACCGAGCTGGAAGATGAGAAGAGAGGACCAGCTTTGAGAAACAGATTAGAAGGAGAAGCAGCAGTATACAAACGTGTATTAGACAGAGATTCATTGAAGGCTAATGAGCCACCAGGAGCAGGAGTAGATTACTTCAAACGAGTACTACGACCATATTTCGTGAAAGGATCAACCAATGTGTTCCTATACAGGTTTATGCAATTCGTGCGATTCAATCGAGGATCAGCCGACATGATGAAATGGATGACAAGATTCCAGATTTTACTCCAAAGGCTTATGAGCAGTTGGATGGACATGTTAGAACCAGTCACTCAAGCACATCCCCAAGTCCTTGCTCAGATGCAGGCAGATGCAGCGTTGACTGGAGTAGCACCAACGGCAGAAAGGATTCAGGAAATCATGCAGAATGTCAATGGCAATATGAGAATTCTTCATCAGAATGATTTTCCTTTAGGCGAGAATCTCATTGCCCTACTCATGCTGTCCCTTGCAGATTTGTCTCAGGACCAGCGAAACACTTTGACTTCGTTGATGACTCATCGTGGCAGGTACCTGCAGCAATACACTACAACAGAGCTGAGGACAGTTTTCATCGAGATGTTCTGCACGACAAAGACTTCAGTAGACAATCCATTGATGCAGCCGACAGGTGCTGGAGGTAGAAGATCATTTCTCGTACTAGACGAAGGAGAACTCGATGGTACATTTGGCTATTGGGCCGAAGATGAAGAAGATGGAACAGAAGGATTTTTAGATGCCCTGGACGATGTCTTTTGGGTATATGATGATCAAAACTTCTCATGGTTCCAAAGGAGATTCCAAGGAAGAAGAGCCAGAAAAGGCAAAGGAAAAGGTAGAAGGAAAGGAAAAGGAAAAGGAAGATCAGGCCGCAGATTCTTCAGACCTCGTGGAAAAGGAAAAGGAAAGAGACGAGGTAAAGGCCATTTTGCTGATGAGCAACAGACAACTTTTCCAGATGAATACCTTGAAGAGAATCCTTATGAGGACACTTGGGAGTCAACCCAAGGAGCATATGATGCCATTCTTGCCGAGGATATGAATGACTATCTTCAAGGAGAATATGATGATGCCAATGACTTTTGGCAACAGCTTGAAGAAGCATGGTTTTCCCACAAGGGAAAAGGAAAAGGCAAGAGAAAAGGCAAGAAAGGAAAAGGAAAGGATAAAGGAGATGGCAAACAAGATGCAAACTATGCAAATCAACAACAGCCACGTTCTTTACCTGCACCTTCAAGAACTTCACAAGCATCAGGAGGTCAACAAGGTTTCTTTGCACATTGTGTGACAGCAGCAGCTGAAGTCCATGACAGTGAGGTGGACTTGCTGTCAGGCATGATGACCTCATGTCAAGATGAAGCTGACTGCGTGGTCAACAATGGTGAGACGATCTTCGATGACATGAGTGCCCCTGTGAGGTACTCTTTGTCAAAGGAGATGCTCACAAAGGCTCCTGATGGCTTTGCGCTTATGAGCGCTGATGGCTTTGCGCTTATGAGCGCTGAGGAAGAAGTGAAGGAGATGCAGGCTATTTCATTTTTGACTGAGAATCGCTTCCCGCCAACTATTGCAATCCTGGACATTGGATGCACTAGAGCTATGGGATCAAGGCGAGCAGTCGACCATTTTTGCAACTATGTCGACAATCACCCAGATTGTGGATTATGGTACTCTTTTGAGTCTACCAAGAGCAAGTTTTACTTTGCCAATTCCCAGAAGGCTACTTGCTCTCAGAAACTGGTGATTTATATGTATGATCGTGCATGGACGATCCACCATACAGAGTTCGACATAGTGGAAGAAGGAGAAGTCCCTTTGCTTATGAGCTTGCCACAGATGAGGAACTTAGGCTTTGAACTCAAGCTGACACCTCAACATGCTTATCTGACATCGGTGCCTCTTGGTATCAAATTTTTGGAGTTGAAGGTTGCAGCCAGTACTCATCTTGCGTTGGACTTCCAAGATATTGCATGGTATCTGTCTGACGTGCGTTGGCAGACTCAGCGTGAGAAGAGTTTTTACTCTCACCTCACTCACTATGAATATGGCCATATTTCTGTTGAACACAATAGTGATGAAGGTGAAGCTGAGCATGCATATCCTGTGGTTGATTTCTGGGAAGTAGATGTTCACAAGAGAGAACTGATACGTCACCACAAGGATTACAGGAAAATTCTTTTCCCAGCAACTAAGTCCTGTCCTGTAGACACTGACTTGCTGGAAGACTTGCGACTGACAATCATCAAGAAGAAAGCAGGAGGAGAAGAAATCAAGAAGACAGATGATTGGCGCAAGGCAAAATGGAAGGACCTACAACTTGGCTATGAATGGCGTGGTAGAACAATTTTTAAATTTAAGCCAGATGCCAAAATTCCAGATCTAAAGATCAGGAAGGCTGGCATTGAGCACCGTGGCATTGGTGATCCCGATGCAGTGGTGCGCTCCTCCTCAGAGAAGGTTCCCATTGCAAAGGACAGGGAACCAGGCTTCTCATCAGAGAAGGAAGGTGCACCATCCAGTGCCGCGGAAAAGCCCGTGCCGCCAAGGTTTCGGTATACTTCCAAGGGTTTTGATCCATTTTGGAAAGGACACAAGTCAAAACCATCTGAGCCTCAGAATGATTTAAAGGGTGATGATCTTGAGGAGTATGCTCCCTCAGAACCACCTGAGAGGCCAGAAGGTGAACTTGTAGAAATTCCTAAAGCATCAAAAGGACTATCAAGTGATAAACATGAACCACTTGAACCAGGTGATGGCGCTCTTGAGCCTAGGCGGATTTCAATCCCATTACCTGGTAGTGAAGTTGTTGCAATGACACCGGCATATAGGAAGATGTTACAGAGACTGGAGGACAAGGTAGAGCTTTATAAGCTTCATGTGAAGCACTACCATATGAGTCCTACTCAGTTTCGTAGACGTGTTTCTATGTTGAAGCTTCCTGACTCTGTTTTAGAGAAGTATGAATCAGTTGTCAGGAACTGCCGTGTTTGTAACACTTCAGTGGCACCTCCGCCACGAGCCAGAGTCTCCGGTATTAGAGCTTCATGTTTTGGTGATGTTGTTTTTGCTGATCATTGTGAGGTTGAACTTCACAAGAACAAGTATATCATTCTACTTGTTCTTGATGGTGCCACAAATCTTCTCTGGGCTACGGCGCAGAAAGACCTCATAGATCAAACCACCATCCAAGCATTGAGGCAATGGTCTGATGAGAACAACTGTGTTCCAAAGGCCATCGTAGGAGACGAAGCCTTTTTCACCGATGCTTTTGTTGAATACTACAGGTTCCATGGTATACAACAATGTCCTTGTGGGCCAAGAACTCCTTGGCCGAACCGAGCAGAGACAGCTGTACGTTTGTTCAAACGTATGTGGCATGTTATGAAGGTAGATCTGGATGACCCACGTTTTCGTGGTGTTACGGTCAGAGAAGTGGTCAAGAAGGTAGTTTGGGCAAGAAATTGTCAGTTGACTATCAGTGGATATTCACCAATAGAGATAGCAACTGGAAGACGTCCACCAGATCTTTTTGACCTTGAGACCGCAAGCCCTGAGCAATTGTCAGCTAATGCCGCCGCACAAGATCGTACAAATTTGGAACTACAACGTGTGGCTTTGAGAGCTCATCAAGAAGCACGACAAGCTCAGGACCTTCGAGCAGATCTTGCGAGAAGGACTATGCCAAGTGACGGTCCTTATTTCCAAGGAGAGAAGGTTTTTGTTTGGACTCAGGATTCATCAAAGTTCAAGGATAAAGGACGTTGGGTTCGTGCCACAGTACTTGGACAAGAAGGAGCTATGGTTCAAGCCAATACTGGTAAGGCAGTGATACGTGTGAATCAGTCAAAGGTTAGACGTGATCACGATGAGTGGCATGATGTTTCCATTCCGGCATTAGACGATGAGAATCCGGAGAACTTGCGTGAAGATCACGAACTGTATGTTGATGCCGAATTCGGAGAACAGTCCTTTTTCTTCTGTAATGAT